CAAAGAAATGGGCAATTCACAGAAGGGAAAGCACAAATAGCCATTTCAACGTATATACATTTCAACAAATGTATAAAATCCTCTAGGAATCAGAGAAGTGCAAATTAAAGCAGCAATGAAATATCTCATTACATTCATACTGGCGAAAAGCACAGGAATGGTTCATATAATGTATTTGAGAGGGTGTGGGGAAAACATATTAAAAAACAAAATCAAATTGCGCAGGGTGTCAAGAACAAGCTCTCCTGCTGGTATGTACTTCACTGGGGCAGCAGAGGAGGCCTCTTCACTCTGCTGCTTCATAAGGATGGCTCTTTCTAATCTGGGGAGAGAGTGCGTGGGAGGCAGGGCAATGCAGGATCCAAATCCTCTTCCTACTTTTCCGGCCTTAGCCATACAGCTGCTTGTCCTGTTCAAGTTGTTGTAGCAGGGGTCATGTGAGGTGAGGCCTGTAACTCCTACCTGGGGCATATTCCTATTTTTACTTTGTATTTCTGGTCTGTAAAAATCATTTAATAAAGGGAACTGACTTTGGAAACTAAAAGAGGAAAAAAAAGTATGCTTCTTTAGGGCACTGACCCCCACCCCCACAACTACGTTAAGTACCCCTTAGAGCTGAAAACCAGGTGTGGCAAAGACTGCTGTTCACCTACTCCACATGCATTTTGCCCGTCTTCCTTACTTGTAGAACCCCTACATTATTAGGGGACTATTGTGTCTAGCTTCGAAAAATACACATACACACATAATTCCCAGCCCCACTTGCAGCAAGGGGTGGCTATTGACACAGAAACAGAAGCCACTGGGTGGCGATTTGGGAAAGTCCTTATGTCTCTTGTCATCTTGAACCATGGAGAGACCTGGAGGCTAAAAACAAGCTCTAGGAATAGCAGAGCAGAAAGACAGATGGAACCTGGGTCCCTGAAGACGTGTGTAGTCATGAGACCCTGGAGTGTCCATCTCTAGGCTTCTTTAATGTAATAGGATAGCAACCTAATTTGTTTAGTAAGCCACTATAGACCACCTCTGGCACTAGCAATTCCTGACACTTAAGGCTTTTTCTCAAAACAGAACAAAATGTCCCTGTTTTCTAATCATCAGAGGTAAGGTATAGACTGGTTGCATGATGAGGTCAGGATAATCTGTGCTTGAACAGATTAACTTTAAGACAAATAAGAGAAGCATCGCTTCAAGCAGCAGTTAAAAATCTTATTTATTCATTCTCTAATTAATTACTAAAACCTGAAATACTGTCTTAAAGCTATCTTGCAGGTGGTGTTTATGGAAGTTTCTATCCCCCAAAGGTGGAGAAAGTGGAAAATATAGCATCTATGAAAAAGACTTTGCTGGGTGCAGTGGCTCACACTTGTAATCCCAGCTACTTGGGAGGTGAGAGGATTGCTTGAGGCCAGCCTGAGCAACACAGAGAGACTCCGTCTTTCAAAAAATAGTTATTAAAAATCAGCTAGGCATGGTGGCATATGCTTGTAGTCTTAGCTACTCAGAAGGCTTAGGCAGGAGGGTCACTTGAGCCCAGGATTTCAAGGCTGCAGTGAGCTATGATCATACCACTGCACTCCAGACAGAGAGACAGAGCAAGTCCTCCATCTCTCACAAAAACATTTTTGTTTTAGTAAGTTCAGCAATAGAGTCATCAATGCATTAAGGGAAATCAGAATTCTTTGGCATTAAATCTTTATTCTGAGTTCTATATATATTCTAGTTATCAGCCCTTTATTGGATGTATAGCATGTAAATATTTTCTTCCATTCTGTAGGTTGTCTATTTGCTCTAATGATAGTTTCCTTGGCTGTGCAGAAGCTTTTTAATTTGATCAGGTCCCATTTATTTATTTTTGTTGTTGTTGTGATTGCTTTTGAAAAATCAGCAAGAAAAAATCAAACAACCTCATTAAAAAAAGTGGGCAAAGGACATGAACAGAAACTTTTCAAAAGAAGACAAATGGCCAAAAATCATGAAAAAATGCTCAATATCTCTAATCATCAAGGAAATGCAAATCAAAACCACAATGAGAGGCCGGGCGCGGTGGCTCACGCCTGTAATCCTAGCTCTCTGGGAGGCCGAGGAGGGCGGATTGTTTGAGCTCAGGAGTTCGAAACCAGCCTGAGCAAGAGCGAGA